TAAAGTGCCTATAGAAAACTCCTTTACTAGTTACAACTGGCACCAGCGCAATCAAACCTTTAACCAGTGGCAATCGGAACAAGTGTTTGTGCTTTGTCGCTAGAGCACTCTTCCAAAATTTGATCGGTATGATGCTTATACGTCATCGCTTGAATCATTTTGATGATTTAAAATTTACCCAGTTTTGAAGTGCCTGTAGAACACTCAATTGAGCTCGTAGATCATTTTATTTTGCATAAATATAGTACCAAAAATAGTCCCTTGTTCATGATTTTATGCTTGAATTACGTATTCAAATTTTAGTGAAAAAGCTCAATGAGTTAATTACACTATAAAAACGACATTTGAATTTCTTGTTGATCGTCTCGAAATAAAATGAAACGTATCGCAGGAACTAAAACTTACAAGAAACCCAAGAATAAGCCCTGACACAAAAGTTGAGGTTAGGTGCTCAAGTTTTTGAATCAGCCTATTTCTCCTACTTTGTAACGACCTTTTGTAGGAACTAAAGAGAGAACGCTCCTAATAATGCTCAGTTATGCTCAGTGTTTTTTCAGCTTGCGGTGGTCCTTGGTGTTGGTACAGAGTACAGTTTACAGAGGGCGCCACTAGTTTGTATAAAATCGATTTAAATATTGAAGAATAGCCAACCTAGACACTTTTCGTTTGTAATTTCGAAAACAATTATTTATTGGCAGGATATCGAACGAATTGATCGCACAGACAGACCATAAAATGGAACCCAATTAACAGGTTGTTGTTTAGCATTTAGCATAAAATAATTTTAAAAAAAATTACAAGAATAAATAGGGTGGTCTGAACAACACCGGAATTTTGTTCTTGAGCTGTAATTTTTTTTTGTGGACCAATTTCCTTTTGTTTTGGCTTGTTTGGAAGAGAATTGAATAAGCTAACGAATCAAAGTGAAACTTGAAATTTTAGTAAAATTTAAAATGGCGAACTTCTTCAAAAATAGTTTTGGATATAAAAAGGTGAAATTCGATCTTATTTCAATATTTCACCTAGTTTTCAACTGATTTTTCTTGTCGAGGTCTTAAAATGTTCGCAAATAGATCATGGAAATCCTACCAAAAAAGGGGTTTGCCTTGCATGAAATGAGGTATTTCTGATTTTTTGATATGTTGTAAATCTGATAGAGTGGTTATGACAAATCCAAGTTTTCGACCTCGAAAGCCCTCCGGATCATTGTTAAATATTACTAAAACCGCTAAATTTTCACACTTTTTACACTTTTTGTCAATTTTGACTACCAAGGACTAATGTTACGGTTGTTGACTTTGCACACAACCACTTGTGTGCAAAGTCAACAAATTTTGAAACAAAAGGAGTTTAATTGGGTCTTTGTAGGTGGAACAGTTTCTAAGATACAGCAATTTGAAGTTTTGCATAATTTCAAAAAAACAAAAAAAGGCAGTTTTGGTTTTCATTTTTTCCTGGGCGCTTTTGGAAAGATATTTTGAAATAAACTTCACTTTATGGAGGCAACTTTCTCCCCTCTACACAATGGTGTAGCCAAATTTGAAATTCGTCGATTCGTCTTTGGCCGATCATCATCAACTTTTGTACAAGTTTGCATTTTTTTTTTAAATTGTATTCGGAGCTTTTTGGTCCCCTATAAGCAGTAACACATTTCGCAACTGATATTTTTTTTTTTTATGAAAAATAACACGTCGAATGTACGAACATCTACCCTATCTCCTTCAAATCCAATATTCTCACTGAATCCGGAAATATTCGGAATATCCCAGATTTCGATGTGGCGTTTTGTTAAGCAAGAACAAGAAATTGTGCAACTTTGCCTTGCCGTTCTCTATATCTCAACAGTTTCCCTTAAAAAACGGACACCCTGTATACAATGAAGTAGATATTACATGTCACAAAAAAAAATCAAATCATAATTTTATGTTTGCGACAATGATTTTTTAAATAATTTATAATGCTTATTTCGTTACCAGTCGTAGTTTATTTCACAAACCCTTTTTGAAATATTTATTTACTCACCTCATCAACTTTGGACAGCTGTACCTCAAGAACTATTAGCTCTAAAAAAACCATATTAGTGTCAATTGTGAGAAAATTAGTCCTTCTTAATACTATATATGATATTTTTGCCGTTTAATGTGTCCCTAGTGGTCAATATTGGATAAGACTGAAAAAAAAGTGTAATTGTTTTTCTTGAAATTATGGAAAATTTTAAATTGCTGTATCTTAGAAACTATTTCACCCACAAAGACCAAATTAGCCTCGTTTTTTTCTAAATTTTGTTTACTTCAAAATTGTACATAACGACTTTCGCCGTCACATTAGTCCTTGGTGGTCAAAATATAAAAAAAGTAAAAAAAGGGTGAAAACTTAGCGGTTTTAGTAATATTTAACAATGATCCGGAGGGCTTTCGAGGTCGAAAACCCGGATTTGTCATTTTCACCTCATCAGATACAGCATATCAAAAAGTCAGAAATACCTCGTTTCATGCAAGGTAAAATGTACGAATTCTATGGACTAAAAATGATGATAAACAAAGTTCCAGCGCTATACAAAGCTAGGTAATATATGAAGAAGTTCGCCATTTTGAATTTTTCTCAAATATCAAAAGTTTCACTTTGCCTCGTAAGCCTGTCCATTTCTCTTTCAAACAAGGAAATTGGTCAACAACAAGAAAAGTTACAGCTCAAAAACAAAATTCCGTTTTTTTTTGGACCACCCTATATAAGTAAAAGTAAGCCTTGGTATATAAAAATATATGCTTACCTCAAAAATATACAAATTCAATTTTTAACTAAATCATAACACCAATTAATAGAGTCATAGATCAATTTTAGGTTCTGAGTTATAAAACAGTGGTAGGCTAACACTAATTATCAATTCTATAAGATACAAAAATAAGATGAGATGATTCAACGTGATCCCAATTTGTCCAAGCCAGAAAAGTACGAATACCGCGAGACTGCTAGAAGATTTTACATTAAGGTATCTCATAAAATTACCACATTGGTATTAAGATAGAAGTTGAATATAACCTCTCTAAGATTAGACAATTAACATTAGTTCTCAATCTTGAAAACAGTAACTTAAAAGCTATACGATACGATACATACGATAATATAAATATTTCAGTAATATAGGTTAAGTTAAATGTTGATTAGCTTTTTTAGCTAAAGGATAAAAGGCGATAAAACATACGGTACGATAATTGAACTTGCACATTTAGGGCAGTGAAAGGTTGGTACACAAGCCTGAACGAAATCCTTTTAAGGCCCCTGAGACTCTGAACACTGAACTTACAAACTTGGCCGGGGACAACCAAACCGTGGCTCACCGGACTGAAACAACCAATAAGTAGGTATCCAACGTGCTATAAGCTTCCGAAGTGGCTTCAGATTTGTCCAGAGTTCTAGGACGACAGGGTAGTCCTAAGCTCTCAAATTAGTAATGAATTTCCGCCCTACCAGGGGTGTCCGAATGGTCGATATTCAACCTCACTTTCCAAAATCTTACAAAAATCGTTCATTGATCGGTTTTCCGGGAAACTATTGCGTAGGTATTTTCCTGATGATGTGGACTCGATGGCCGAAAGCAACGATAATTTGGTAGATTTTTTGTTCACAAAAATCCGGACGACCGTTTCGGTCCAATACAAAAGATAAAAAGAACTATCAACCTACTAGGAATCAGGTTTTGGTCTATCTCCCTTTCCTCTTTCTAGCATGTCAAAGTCTCAAAAATCGCAGATTCACTTCTGGGATAAGATCTACCTCACCAGACCAATCTTACCTTCTCCTCGCCATCCAACACAATCGGTTTTTTGGGGTTTTCAGATGATTCGTGCACCTAATAATTTATCACAACATTAGACTTCCGGCACTCCAAAAATTAACCAAAAAATCAGACATCAGTCAGATCAAGATGATGAAACGGAAGAAAATAAATTCTCAATCAAAAACCAGAGTCAATTTCGAGCGACGTACCAAAGTAAATTGGTATTCATCACGATACTTGCATGTGGTTATTGATGATTGCATGGTGGGGGTATTCAAATTGACGTCGCAGTTGCAGACTAGTGATGTAAAAAACGTTCTTTTTTTTTTCAAAGTTGAAAAAAAAAAACGGTGAATAAAACAGTATTTTATGGTGAAAAAATACAAAATCAGGTTTTTTTCACAATGGCGACGGCGCATGCGGTACAGCTGTTTGTTGTGTGATTTCGCTGATGTCAACCATTGTGCTGCGCAATGCAAGTTGTTGCTTGTCTATAGTCGGCTCGCTGGCACTGTTGGCACGCAGGAAACGCTTTTAATTTAAATTGTCTTTTGATTTTGAGTTTGTCTAAACGTTTAGTGCAGTGATTTTGACGATTTGACTTATAGACCCTGAGATAGGGCCTGTTTAGTGGAGCCATTTTTTTTTGTCTGGCATTTTGAGGGATGAATGTGGCTTGTTAGCTGATGAGAGTATAAGTGGTTTTAATGTCTGCCACCTGTTCGATGTCCACAGAATGTTTCGCCGGAAAACTCGACTTTGAACCGTGATTACCGTCTGGCGATTTTTCAGCGTTATTTTTACAACAAAACCTTCCATTGTCTCGATTGCCAGACAAAAAGTAAACGCGGAAGGTTCTTTTCTTTTCTCTTGGAAGTTGACACTCATCCCCACTTTTTTATGTGTGAATTATTAATCAATGTCAATCTTTTATTTAGAAGCCAAAAAATTTGAGATCATTGAAAAAAAATTCTTCATGTAAATCAATTTTTTTCTTCTGCAAATTTTCGAACGGGAGGCAGGCATTAAAATCACTCATATTCTTATCAACTTAGTAGCCAGATTCAGCCCTCAAAATGCCAGAAAAAAAAAATGACTCCACTAAGCAGCCCCTATCTCACAGCCTATTAGTGAAGTCTGCTCTGTGTAGTTTTTCGTGTACCGTGTTCTTGTATCCGACCAACTTTCAAAATCCAGTTTGGTTTTATATAAAAGCAAAATTATGCCGCGCCGTCCCGGATCTGGACGAAAGAGAACCCCTGTCGCATGTTTGTTCAAAGACACTGTACCAAAAGGGAAAACAGCACAAGTAATGTGCACATTTTGTTCAAAAGAACTGTCTAAGAGTAAAACCCGAATGAAAACACACATCATAGATCAGTGCTTAAAATGACCTCTTCAGGTGAAAAAAAAAATATAAAAAATAAACCTATGGAGATAAACGCAGAGGCAGAGGCCAATATTACGTCTGCCAGTGCCAGTACATTTTCCAGTGTTCTATCCTGTTCCTCTGCACCACGATCGACATCAACCCACAGCAATAAACAACAAATTTTATCATTTGTCGATAAAATTACAAGTGATCAATTGAAGGCGAATGAGCTCCTGGCTAGAGAAATTTCTGCCAGTGGTGCACCTTTGGCTATGGAGGAAAATTCTCACTGGCTAAACTACTTTAAATTCATACGACCATCATTGAAAATACCATCTCGATATGAAATATCTGAGCCCTTACTCCAGCGGGAATATAATAATGTTCATGCTTCTGTAGAAGAACAAATTGCGGCTGCTGATTCCGTTGCTTTAATGTGTGATGGCTGGTGTAACATACGCAACGAGTCGATCAATTACTTTGTAGTAACAACACCGGCTCCATTACTCTACAAAAGCCTGCCAACAGGAAAGGAATCTTACACAGCAGAGAACATAGCCAAAGAAATCGATACAGTTATATTAAGAGATTGGCATGCAAAAAGTTTTTGGACTGGTAACTGATGATGCCGCAAATATGAAAGCGGCTTGGATCATTAAAAAAAAAACTATATGGAAAGTGGAAATTCAAACCTTTTTGCATACGGATGTTTCATTAAATCTGATATTCAGTGATATTAAGAAGCTAGCAACTTTACAAAAGTTTCTGACCGAAACTGTAACGCTGATAAAAGCTATCAGGCAATCGCAAATTTTGATATCCGCTTTTAAGGAAAAGCAAAATAAAAATAATCTGCTTTCACTGAAACTACCTGTTGTGACAAGATGGGGATCTATAATTCATTGTTTTGAAAGTGTGCAGGCGAATAAGCAGTCGATTAAGTCTCTCGCATTCGACGAAACTTTACAAGCATTAATCAATAAGCACCCTGTCTTGAAAAAAAAAAAATGCTCTGGATGATACATTTTGGGAAAGAATAGATGGTTCCATTAAGTTATTGAAATCCGTTGCAGCTGCAATTCAATTTATTGAAAGTGATAAACCACGAATTTCAAAGGTGGTTGGAATTTTCAAGAAACTTGAAGAACATTTCAAAGAAGTTTTGCCAACGAGTCCTATACTCAAAAAGGAAGAACAAGATGTAGCAAAAATAATCGCAGACAGAAAGCAATTCGCCGTGTGTGATGTTCACAAGATCTGCAATTTGCTAGTTCCATCTATAAGAGGTTCTGACCTCACTCCAACTGAACAGGTTCGTTACTTACAAATTATACATGCTCTCGCTAAAATTTCTGTAAATGTTCTTTTTTCAGACTGATGCAATTGAACACATTTTCGAGGCTGCAAAAAGAATTCCGTATGTCAATGAAACAACAGTCTTATCTGAACTTGCCAATTTCTAAGCAAAGGATGGGTTTTTTAGCAAACAATTCCTGTGGTTAACAACATCTGAAATATCACCAACTACCTGGTGGAATGGTTTATGTAAAAGTACAGAATTGTCAAAATTAGCAGTAAAATTTCTTCAGCTCCCAGCTACTTCATCTGCTTGTGATAGGAGCTTCAGTACATATGCAGCAATTCATACCCTCAAAAGGAATAGACTGACAAACGACAGGGCTGCTAAACTTGTGTATATCGGGTACAATTTAAAGCTGCAAAGGCAAACTGTTCAAGTCCAAGAATATTAGGGAAACACTGCTCCTAGTACCACTGCCACTACCGCCACTAACACTGGGACTGGGACTGAGATTACCACAATTACAAGGAATTTGCCAAGCACAAGTGGAATAACATCAAGATCAATGCGAAAAGCAGAAGAAAATGTGATTGAACAGTGAGAGCGAGAACGGGTCATCGAGTGATACTGATTCTACGTCTACTGCTGGCTCAAATTCGTCCCAATTTTCTGTTCACGACACAGATTCTGATTTCTGAGAACTGAAAAAGAGGTGACTCTGACTAGTTATTTTAATGACTGATGACTAAGTTGAACTGATTATTTATTATAAAGTTACATCAAACCCGAACAGAATGTTTATTTTATTTTTTGAAATAATACTAGTTCTAGAAAAAAAACCTGCAGTTGTGTATTTTTTCATTAAAAAAAACCGTCCTCTCGATAAAAAACATAAGCGTTTTTTTTTCATTTACATCACTTTTGCAGATGATTATATACCGCTCGAACTACTTACGAGGGGTGTACACGAGAGAGCGTTTTTAAAAAACTTTATTTGACTAATACAATAGAACTGACTTAAATCTAAAAATTACTCCTTTTATAATATAAAAAATAAGCTGAATAGAACAATATAAATGCTGAATTGGAGTTCTCACGGGATATAACTAACTAAATGGTTTTAACCATGGTTTGTTTTTGTCACGTGATCGCCAAAATCAAAATAGAAAGCAAAGCCGAGCATAAAATTAGGGTCAACAACCACTATAAAATCATCGCATTGAGTAGTAAACTATGCTACACCCACAAAAAAATCTCAAAAACTTGACATTTCAAAAATAATTGTAAATTATGGGTGACCCTAATTTTATGCTCGGCAGTGTATTTAAAAATGAGCATCATTGATCTCAAACGTCTGTTAATGGGGGCAGATATCGCAGATGAAATGCTTTTTGATGAAGATATCGATTTATACTTAGGAAAAAAGAATCGGAAGTATCCATTTCTGCTCCTTTTTCTACTTCTCAGTACCAAGTACCTAGATAACAGACAACAATTATTCTCAAAAAAGTAAACAGAACAAGCGGAAGCGACGATCCAACCTGAAAATATGCAAAATCAATTGCTAAAAACCGACCAAAAACGTAATATCAATATTCAAATAAAACTACGCCCGAGCTGGGTTAAAACTGAAACTTTGCGGTGATGAGTATGACAGTATGACATTTTACAGCTGATCCATGACGTCATGGACTTATAACCAAAAGAAAAACCACAGTTGCAAAAATGTTGTGGTAAATACCAATTCCAAATGGTGAAAACCAATTTCGTTCGGTTATTCGCTAAAAATTGGCTCAGGTGTCAATAAATTTGAAGTTCCATATTATCTGTAATCTATCAGACAATGATTTATTCGCATGTCGGTTCCGATTATTTGCTAAATAAATATTTCGCAGCCAATAAACAAATATTACAGGCGAATTGCAAGAAAAACAGAACTTCCTATTCGAGTAACTATTTTTATTTATTTTTTTTTGCAAATTGTTTTGGGTACAAATAATTTTCTATCAAGTAACTATTCAATAGGGAAAATTTAAGCAGATCTATCTGTTCAAACGTCAGTTAGTGCTATATTTCTTAGGAAAAATATAAGCTCACCTAACTGTTCACACATCATTTAGTGGTAAACATTTATTAGGAAAAACTTATGCGTATTGTATTACCTTGTAATGTTGACAGTCTGGTGACTAGCATTAACAAAAAGGGTTTCTGCTACTTATAATATTAGCAATTATTATTAAACTAGAGGGTACGATTTTCGTTTAAATTTGACGTACCAGTTTAGTACCAACGCTTTCCGTTGACTATTTTTAGGGGAAGCGCTGTCTGCTCACCTTGTCTGTTTCATTTCCCTGCCCTTTTAAATTGTGCCGGTCGAGCTGAAAGGTCGATTCTGGGCTGAAAACCGCCATCTTCCTGAGACAACCGTGCTCGTGGAAAATAAAGTACCTTATCGGCCCTCAGGCAGTATCTTAACGAAATAAAGTTGCGTAAGGCAATAATCCGTTGATTACCGAAAAAAATTTAATCAAAAGTCTTGTGATTACCATTTTATTTGAGTTTGAATTTCGAACTTCCTCGTGGTAAGTCTTTTTTAATTTTTTTTTTAAAGTAATGGTTGTTTAAGGAATGCCTCTATTTCTTAGGGTTTTCCGAAGTGGCGTTTCTCTCAACAAAAGAACACCATTTTCGTGGAGCGTAACTTTTGAACGGATTCCTACAGGAATCAAGTCCCACCCGAGTCGATACGTGTACCCCCACATTTGATGAAGTAATCTGAACTTCCAGCCTTGTTTCCAGGCTGGAATCTGCAACTTCCACTTGCAGCTTCCCTCGTCAAATCGTCGAGAATGAATGGCTACCGTACTCTACCTTTTGTTGGAATGGAGGCTTGTATAAAGTTTCATTAATAACTTTCAATATATTTTTTAATGTAATCTGTTCTATAGTCAATTACTAAAATTATTTGATTTTGTTTTTCTTATATGACTTAAATACACATTTAAAATCTCACATTCTTGACACCGAGGTGATGGTGGAATAATTAACTTTCGATTTATCGAATTTATTATAGATTTGTCTTTGCTTAACTTTCAATATTGCCATATTTTAGGAATGTAAATTTTGTTATTCATAAGCAATGATCTGAACTGGAGTCAAGGTTGGACAACATGTTCTAACTTTAAAATTTTTGAGTAAGTACCTATAACGTCGAAAATTGATCAATTTTTAACCCTGGGTTCTATAACTTATATATTAGAGGATTTCTATCATATCTCCTGACCATTTAATCTAAGTTTTGATTTCATACAGGTGTAATTTGATTTTATTTTCTGGCAGCAGTTAACCATATTTATCCATATGATATCAAAATTTTCAATCATTCATTTTTTTTGTTTTAAATTAGTTTTCTGGAAACTTAAATCTATTTTATTTTCATTTCGTGATAATGATATGGCCAGCGACTGTTAATGAATTTATATGGCAACTATATTGAGGACCATTGTAATAATATTATTTTTTTTGAGCTTGATGAATCTGATTGAAAGTTAACCTCTTTTTATTGATTTGATTTAAGATTTAAAGTGTTTTACCAGCAATAATTGATTTTATACTTCGAAATTATTCAATACTTGATTTTTGACCTCACGATATACAGTGTCATTACTTAAGTGTGCAACATATGGAATTTTTTTTAGTAGTAGCACAATCAAAATACAAACAAGGCCAAAAGTTGATGCATGTCTGATAATCATATAAGGTGCACTTAGAATGGTTGCAAGTCAAACAGCCTACAGGGTAGCTCAAAAAATATAAAAATTGTAGTAATATTTACTTAAATAAAATAAAACTTTTGCACTTTAAGGAGAGTTTTTTTAATATGGCTATTATCATTAGTAATGTTTTAACTTGTTAAAAAAAAATTGCGACATTTTGAAGTTGTGTTGGATATCATTGCAACAAACATGAATTTTGTGATTCCATAAAAAATTAAAAATCTAAGTTAATTTCACAAATATGCTTGAATTTGAACAAAGTTATGTAAAATTCATTTAATTTTGATTAATTTTTGAAAGTATTAAGGGCGGAAATAAGAAATAAAAAAAATATAGATATTATAAATTTTTTTCGAAAGAAAATAAAAAAAATCTTAGGAGGCTATGTTTTGGTATTTAGGCATAACTTTTAATTCCAAACAACTCTATAACATTTTGCTGAATTTTCTGAAATAAGGGTACTTAACACTACAGCTTTGATATTGTTTGAGCTACCCTGTTTGCTGTTTGACTTGCAACTATTCTAAGTGCACCTAATATGTTTATCAGACATGCACCAACTTTTGGCCTTGTTTGTATTTGGGTTGTGCTATTACTAAAAAAAAATCCCCAAATGTTGCACACTTAAAAAATCACACTAACGCTAATTTAATTTGAAACTTACTTAATTGTTTTATTGGTTTACCTGTGTCAAGATTTGGTTGAGTAATGTGCCTTATTTATTTCCTTTTCATATTTATCAATTACCGTCTGCTGATTTTTTTTTTAGGCGTGTTTCTGAATTTTCACCATTCTATAATTTATGTAATTTAATTATTATTATTTTTTTAAATTCAGTGGCATCCTTGCCATTTTGTACTTATTAAACTATCAACCCACCCCTAATAATTATTCGCTGAGCAAACTGACCATATTATGGGCCTCTTGTTAATTTATTAACAAAAGGGGTTACAGTATGCATATCAATTATTGGTGTTAAACATTTATTACTTGTTTACACATCCTGTGTGTTATAGAAGTAGCCGATATTTTGTATACAACTCCATCAAATATATTGTTCTCACTTTATAAATTTTATTTCTTTCCGTCATTTTGGGAGCAAATATTTTTTTTCGATGTCAAATCCGGTAATAAAGTCACGATTTTGCCAATTATTTCACTATTTAGCTCAAATTAGGTAATGCCCCATTCACGGATTTCGGGTAAGTACACTAAAACTCACAACAGTTCATTAAACAATTTGACTTTACACGAAATTCACTCATCACTTATCGGAACGTACACAATAAATATCGAATTTAAACTAAACTCAAACTTATTACTACGCGCTATTTATAGTCG